TAGTACGACTACTTCGTTGTAGTTAGTAGATATATACTACTATAGTATATTAGTAATTAATTATTAGTAGGTAGGTCGTATTTATTATTGTAGTAGTATATATATATATATATATATATATATATATATAGCCTATAGGCGAAAATGAATAGTGATTTCACCTATATTCATTACCGTCCAAATTTCATTGCACGGTCACGATTGTCCGGTAGTATTTTATTTTTTATTTTTTATTTTACAAATCGAAATGACTTGAAATTTAGATGGTATGTACATCGTATTGATGCACATCTAATAAAAATATAAAAAAATTTATCTGTAAAAAATAAATTGATCAAAATACCCCCAAAACTTATCGGGGGTATTTTGGTCAATTTATTTTATATAATATTTTTTGAAGATTCTCCTATTTTTGATGAATACACACTCTAAATTTCAGATCATTTTGATTTGTAGAAAAAAAATAAAAAATAAAACACCACCGGACAATCGTGACCATGCGATATACTTTGGATGACGATGGGGGTAGGCAAAATCATTGTTCATTTTCGTCTATAAGCATTGCGTAGTGTTTTCCTATATATATTATTATTGTTATTATTTAGAGTTTCAAATTTTCTAATATTTTAAGAGTAATGATCCTATGAGACCTTCCCACACCCATGTGTGTAGAACCCCAAATGATCACCATTAAATTTGGCACAGATCTCTAGAAAAATCTAGTCCCACACCCATGTGATAACTTTTTTTTAGATATCTGTGCCAAATTTAATAGTTATCATTTGTAGTCCTACTTATGTGATAACGTTTTTTTGATATCTGTGTCAAATATAACGGTGATCATTGGGGGTCATACACATGAGTGTGGGGAAGGGGGGACTCATATTTTAAATATGGGAAAAGTTTATATAAAGGCGGCTCTAAACAATCAAATTTGAGCCTACCTCAAAAATCTCATTAGAAGAGGTTGTTTTGATGCCCAGAGATCTTCAAATTGATCATCTCGACATCAATATGTAATGATATGAGAAAAAAATGGATTTCAAGTTTTAAAAATAATAAATTTTATAATACATTTTTGGAACGTCAAATTTCAAGATTTTAAAGTGTTTATAGATATGTCAATCTACACTGTTTTTGAAACTTTAAACTTATAAATAAATATGAAAATATATTTTAAGGCTATCATAAACATTTCCAATATTGAAACCACATTGCTTCACTATTTGAAGGTAAGTTCGAATTTGATTGATTAGAAGCTAGGCTCTATGCAAACCACACCCTTTAAATATATCCTATTTTTTTAGCCTAGTCGGATATAATCACTATCTTTTTAGCTTAAAGTATTTTTGTCAATCCATATTTTTTGTCCGATTCTTTTATCGGACTTTTTTACACTAAAAAGTAAAAACGATTAGTTTCCGATTTATTGCCCGCATGAAACAATTTTCCTAATTTAAACCCAAGTGGCCCGATGTTCTCCCGATGTTTACAGTAAAACGGAAATGGGTCGCATAGACTCTAGAATGTTTTATGATCCTCCAAAACCCTAGTTCATTCTCAGTTAACGATTTCAGTCTTCTCATAAAATCTCTCTCTCAAACCCTAGGGAAATCTTTGGTCCTTCTTAAAATTTCTCTCTCCTTATGGGACAAGAAATCAAGCCTTAGCGCCCATTTATTTATTCACTTACTACCACTCGGGAGATATCTCAGTCCTTTGAGAGAGAGGAGGGGTTCATTCTAGAGAGAGAGGGAGAAAAGAGATGGGGAGAGAGTGCCCTTGGGGCTGGCTCCCTGTGTTGTTCCGGTGGCCGGAATTCGGCTTATGGTGGCCCGAATTTAGCTTTTGGTGGCCGGAATTCAGCTTCTCTATAGTTGATGAGATCGTATGGACATTGGCATGGGTTTGTGAGTCAGTAGCACTGGTCTCTATGCTATGTTTCTTCTTTGTTTTCTGTGGATGTAGCGTCTGAAACCGTGGCGGAGTATGAGCTAATACTGAAGAAGAGGTTTTTGCCCTTTTGACTCGTTTCAGCTTAATCGCTTGCAGAAGCGGTTTTATCAGCAGTCTGGTCAATATAGGTGGGGAGAAGCGGTTTTTGGCGTTGTTTTGATCGCTGAAATTGGGTGGTTTTGATGAAATACCGCTTTTTAGGTGGTTTCGTGAAGCGGTTTTGGGTAGCGAGGTGGATTCTGGCCCGGGTTAGGCGGTTTTGTGGTAAAACCATTCTTGCCCTCTCTTTCTCTCTCATCTTTTCTCTCCCTTGTATCTTCTCTCTTCTCTCAATTTCACTGTGCGTGTTGGACACCTGGCGGAATTCGGTGTACATATTCATTATCAAAGATTCTGGGAATTTGAATTTGTGGTGGTTTTTTTTTCTATATTATTTGTGCGGTATTTGGCAATTTGAAAAAAAAAAAAAAGTAGGGAATTTTTGCTTTTAATGTGGAGTATTCCTCAGCCATAACATATGACTAATTTTTTTGAAAATAAAAGTGGTCAAATTAATTGGTTATTTTTTAGAATGGGGTGGAAGTTTAGATTTTCATTCTCACTAACACGTTTAAAAAACGTTTATTATTTTTAAAAAACGGATAAAGTTTGTATTCTCCTCAGTGATCTACTTAAAAAAACGCTAATTATTTTTTAAAATGGATAACGCTGTATTCCCCAATAATCTACTTAAAAAAAAAAGTTAGTAAAAATAACATGCTTTTGAAATTTAGTGGTTTTCTTGGTACTCAAAATTATAGTATTTGGCTATTTTCTGTGATAATAATATGGATTTATTCCTCTCTTGTGACGTGAGATATATGTGAGTGATTATTTTAAAATAATAAAGGCTTTAAATTAGGGGATTTATTATTAAAAAAAAAAGTGTGTTAATTATTTGAGCGTTAGTAGATTTTTATAAGGAAACGGAGAGGGGACCGGGTGTTGCCCTTTTAAATTAGGTTGGGACGGTAACCTGCGTCCTTTTGCGGCTTATGTCATAAATAACCATCTCCAAAAACTTGTATGTATTGATTAATAAACTCAAATTTAAGGTTATTCTGGCCTTTAGTTATAATTTATCAAACAATAATATGAAAAATAGATATAGAAAAAGGAGGTCACAATTATTTACAACCATCCGATGTGCAATATGATAGTTTGGGTGTGTCATAAAGTTTAAAAAAATTTGTTTTGAATTTTGAGCATTGTCAATGACATATTATTGGAACATTAATATTTTTTATTATTATTGAGAGTGTGAGTGCTAAAATTTAGTCCTAGAGTTAGGGGATAGCCATCACAAACTTATTGAGGGTTTACTCTTTGTAATATTTGATAATTTATTAAATTGGTTTTTTTGAAACATTTCACATCTTATGTATATCTTTTATCTATTTTTACGCAAAATGGGTTTTGTGTAAAAAATCTAGGTAAAAAGGGTAATTAGTTTGACTTTTAGGTATATTTCGATCTATTTCCTTTGATCATGGCTTATGATGCCAACTACCTAATGTAGCATCCGAGTATAAAAGTTGAAAGTAAAATCTAAAGAAATAATTGGGGCCCTCATATTGATGAAAACAGGAAGGCCAGACCTGGCTTAGCCCGGCTGAGTTTTTTATCTTGGGCCTAGGCCCATGCTGGGCCCTGGGTTAGGCCAAACTTAGACCGATTGCACCATGGAGACCCAACGTAACCTGCAAATTAATCGGGCTGGGATTGCGCCTGGGTCTATAACCTAAATAATTTTTTGAACCCTGCCAGTAAATTAATAACCCAAGATTAGGCCTTGGCCTACCTTAAAGTTTGATTGGCGCACTAGTGTTCTTAAGTTTTGGGTCTGTGTGGGAATATGAGAAAATATTAGATCACCAAAAAAAACCAAAAAAAAGTAAAGGAAGGAAAAAAAATATAAAAAGGGTGTTTTAAGTGGAACCGGGCTGGGATCTAAACATCTTGGAACCAGTTCGGTCTCTACTGATTTCTATTTGAATTTTATAACACTAATTAAAACACGCACTCCTTTTCCACGTGCTCAACAACTTCACAATAATCCGTATCTAAACATATGATCGTTTGGAACTATTTCATGTCTAAATATTATATGTTACTGGGAAAAGAGCTCGGGTTTAATTGGTTAGCGTTTGACAATTGGTAATGTCATGTCATGGGCTCAATTCCTACCAAAGATAGGGGCCCTTTCCCCTACTGATTCACCCAAATAAAATAGCATCTTTCAAATAAAATAGGTCCTCTCCCCACTCACTCACCCAAATAAAATAGCATCTGTCAAATAAAAATAAAATAGTATCTTTCAAATAAAATAGGCCCTCTCCCCATTGACTCCCCCAAATAAAATAGTATCTCTCAAATAAAATAGCATCTGTCACTTGGAACTGGCTCCTTCATCGATGTAAAAGTAGAAAAAATAAGATTTTTATCTTCTAGCAAAATGATTGGTAAACCTTATGGCCTAGTTTTGTTCCAAACCAACATGTGATGGAATTGCTTCTTGCTTTTGGTCACGTAGGACCAGCTTCATTCTCAAACCCCCCTCCTTTTTAGTGAATTTCATTTCTTGGAATGTAAGGGGTTTGGGTAACCCCCCGTAGGAAAAGGGATATTTTCATTTGGTTTTTAAATTCAAACTTGTGATTTTGGTCCTACAATAGATGAAATTCCCTAGCCTTGATGTTTCAGGGGTGAGGAAGATTTGGGGTTCTGGTGCAGTTGCTTTTGTTGGTATTGATGATTGTGGTGATTCAGGTGGCCTGTGGGTCCTCTGGGATCCTCACGATTATTCAGAATTTTGACACCATTATCAAGGATAATTTCTTGGTGGTTGGTTTTAGTGGTCTGAAAGTGGGGCTTTGTGAATGTGTATAGACCCTCTATTTTGGCTCTGAAAGAAGGTTGTCTCTCTGAATTAAGCTTTGACATTCATGCTTTTGCTTATCCTGTGGTAAGCCATATGCCCTAGTTTTGCTCCTAACCAACATGTGATGGATATGCGATGTTGTAATTGTACCAATTTTGACAATGCATAGAGGCATGTGTAGCCTAGCAGAAATCTATCATCGAACCAACTAAGAAAGAAAGTATTAGTTAGTGCAGGAACTTTATTCACTGCGATAGAGGACCAGTTCATTCAAGATATCTATTATTCCATGAAGGTGATAGAGGACCAGTTCATTCAAGATATCTATTATTCCATGAAGGTGTTTGGGGATGCTCTGACTCTTTTGGAGCCTTAAATCATTGATGGATTCAATATAATGATTGTTGAAAATCTTAATATGAATTTAGAGTTATTGAATTCTTAATGACACTTCAGTTGAAATTTGAAAGGGTTAGGAATGCCATGTTGTACAAAGCCAATCTTTCCACTCTCACTCAGGTTCTTTTTGAGTTGACTGTTGAAGAGACTAAAATATAACTCTCCTAATACTGTTTCAATGGGAGAAGCAACATTTGTTGCAACTTAAAAGAATATTAATAAGATGTGGGATCATAATGATAAGAATGTTTATCACCAAGGTTTTAAGAAATAGACCATGGACCCAAATCGTGCATTCGGATTTTCAATCCGATTTCTTGAACCGTTCATTAAAATATTAAAAATAGAAATACATGGTGGAGCTGTTTCTGACTAGTTCTTTGATAGAATCGATCGAGTTGGTTTTGTCAACGAACCAACCGGTTCTGTCAAGGAAATGACCAATTGCTGATATTTAATGAGAACAGTTCACCCCTGACAATTCCCGATCCGAATTGGCTAGTGTTGATCTAAACCGGCATTTGTTTAAACGTTGGTTCTTTCAATTTGCAGAATTGTCACAATTTGAAGAGTGACATAGCCCAATCCCCTATCTTAAGAGCAAACATGCACTGTCCTACAATCATGAAACCTCCCAAGAGGATAGCTTCTGAGTCTTGGGCCAGGTTATTTTCTTTTTGGCTAAGTCCTTAACAAGGTCTAATGACATGTGCACGAAGTTGGTCGTTCACAAGAGTTCCCCTTCCCTTGAGAAAATTAGGGAATGAACATGGATAGATTTATAAATTTCATCAAACACCCCTTTTTCACCTTCTACTTTCCAATAATTGCACTCAACTTTTATGTCTTGGATTAAATTAAGCTAACTGTTCATTGTATTCCCATGATTTCACATTGAAATCTTTCTAATGTTTTCTTAAACCATTACACTCCCCCCCCCCCCCCCTCCCCAAATTTCAATCTTCTCAAATCCCAAAATTGAAGCCTATGTAAAAATCTATCCACTTGACCTAATTATGATAGTATCTAACTTTTTAAAATTGAAAAGTTCTGGCCTATGTAACACGTCTTATTCAAATTAGATTGGATATTATTCCTTGGAAGCTGCACTTTGACATATTAGGGTTTGATGACCATATAAACTTGAAAAACCTATTGAAAGAATGAGTGGGGGTCTCTCATATGGTTGTCCAGGATTGAAGCTCTCCAAATATTGGAGGGTTTAGATAGCTTCTAAACCCTCCTTCAGGCAATTTTCTAAGGGATTTTTGGAAGGTAGGGACATTATAGAAAAGGAGTTGAATACCCTATTCTAAAAAGTTTTGGCTATTATTTAAGAAGGGGGGTTCCCTCTCTCACCTTTGTATTTGCTTTTCCAAATTAAAAATAGGTGGAAGTCACACACACACATTATAGAGATTAACTATTTGCAACTATTCCAACTTAGGGCCATGTGTTTTTGTTTAAGGGTATCTTGAAATTAAATTAGAAGATATGGGTAAAATATTAAATTATACATCCCGTCTAGGTATTTATTTTGATAAATTTCCCTTGTTATTTATTGAAAAATAATTTGATAGGGCTGTAGCTAAGAAAAATCGGGCAGTCAGAATTCTAACTGCCTGGTTAATCGGAACTGGCCATTCGTTAGTTCCGGTTTCGATCGGCTTTAGTGAACCGGCAGGGTATTTTAAAAAATTCCAAAAAAATTATATAACATCCCAATAAATAAGGGAATTTATGTGTAATGTATTTTTTAATGTTTTTCATCATTTTAGCAATGATTGTAAATTGTTTTGGCCATTAATACTTATTTTTACATTTTCCCATCTTTTTTGAAAAATTTCGAAAATACTCCTGGGTACAAATCTATTCTTTAAAATCCATTATTTCCATTGATTTTCAACTTTATTTGGATGTGCTTTGTTTAATCATGCTTTAAATATACTTTGCATATTTATTAAAAAAACTGTATTTGTTTTATTTTTTTAATATTTTTTTCCTATATTGGCTACAGGTCTTAGATCCACAAGATCTGTATCATTTTTTAAGTTTTGAATTTTGTTGTTGGTGATGGAAATTGATTTTA